CACCCGCCCGCCCGCCCACACTGTCTCTCTGTGTCACTCAGCGAGGGATATATGATACAAGCTTGGATCGAAAAGAGAGGGAGGGAGGGAGGGAGAAAGATACACATACGCTGGGCTGTCTGTGCACTCATTACGTTAGTTACGCATGTGTGGTGTGTCGATTGATTCAATGAATGCAGTGAATGCAGTGAATGCGCAAACAAACAAAGAAGAACGAACAACGAAAACGCCAAATAAATAAAGGCAGCACGACAGACACGCACCCTCCCTCCCTCCATCCCTCCCAACATATATCCAACACCCAGTGACCCAACGAATAATGTCAATCAACCAAACCACCAGCCCTTCACCCAAAGAAAACCCACACACTCACGCATGGCCATGCATGGACCCAGACAGACACGCTCAAGAAAGGAACGAGGTATCGACGGAGGGAGGGAGGGAGCTAGCCTAGCGTATCTTCTTCTTCTCTACTGGCTTCAGTATCTGACAATCCAAACCAACCAACACCAGCACACCACCACACCCACAGGCAGCCTGCCATTATCGATCCGTCCGTGTGCTGTGCTGTGCGCTTGCTTTAGACCGATCCGTGCGCCGCGCCGCGCCGGTGTGTGTGATGTAGGTAGGTACCAACATACCTGGAAAGAGCACATGAGTGTCTCGTCGACGGACATCATGGCGCCGGCGTTGTCGAACTCGCCGCAGTAGTTGGGGGCGCTGAACAGCGTCACCAGCTGACGCTTCGCGAAGAACTCGTACCCGTCCTCAACAACCTGATACACACACACACAGATACACACGTGTGTGAGAGAAGTGTGTTGTGTGTGAGTAGAGTACCTACCTGGTGTGCCCTGCAGACGAGGTCCAGGTCGTGTTTCCTGAGGAAGTTGTGCACGACGTCCTGTCCGAAGGTGAAGGAGACGCCCCGGTCGTTCTCCCCCCAACCGTTGATCTCCTTCTCGGGATCGCTCCACAACAAATCACACAGCAACCCTGCAGCAGGCCACACACCACACCACGCCTCACCACACCACACACTGCCTGTTTGCTGCGTTGACGAGTGTGTCGTTCGTTCGTTGGTTCGTGTGTGTGGGTGTGGTGTGTTAGACTACACACCTATATACCTGTGTCGGGTACGTCTGTAGGTCGTACGATCCGTCTGATTTGGTCCATGGAGTTGAGTTCGGGTGAGAGGCCGCCGTGCATGCACATGATCTTCTCGTCGATGATGGCCGCCACCGGCAGGCAGTTGAAGCAGTCCGTGAAGGTCTTCCACAACTTGATGTTGTACCGACGCTTGCCTGATAGCAGTCAGGGAGGGAGGTGAGTGAGTGCATTCGTGTAGTTAGTGATTGGCTCGTGTGTGTGTGTGTGTGCGTGTGTGTGTGTACACTCGTCATAGAAGCCGTAGATGCGGTTGATCGAGGCGCACTCGTGGTTGCCCCTCAGCAGGAAAAAATTCTCTGACGGCCATATATTGCAATGGCACCACAACAACCACAGCAATAAATCCGGTCCTCGTGCTGTGGGTGACCGTCTTCCCTCCCTCCCTCCCCCCCCCTCCCCCACCTGGGTATTTGATCTTGTAGGCCAGCAGCAGGCATATCGTCTCCAACGACTGCTTCCCGCGGTCAACATAGTCGCCTGACCACACACAGCCCAGCCCCGGGGGCACACGACAGACAATAAATCCACAAGCAATGCAATCAATGCACTCTCTCTCCGTGTGTCCGCCTGCCTCTCCGTAGCTATGTCCGTACCGAGGAAGAGGTAGTTGGCCTCGGGGGGGAAGCCACCGTACTCGAACAGCCTGAGGAGGTCGTAGTACTGCCCGTGGATGTCGCCACAGATCTTGATGGGCGCCTCCAGCTCGAGCAGCACCGGCTGGCTGATGAAGATCTCGCGGCTCTTGACGCAGATGCCGCGCACCTCCTGCTCAGTCAGCTGCACCGGCTTGCCGGGACGAGAGCCACGCACCTCCAGCAGCTTGTCACTGGTGGACACAGAGAGAGGTAAATAAAGAGGAAGGAGGTGTCCAGTGCTGCTGCTGTAGTTTGCGGTGTTGTGCGTGTTGTGGTCGGCTTACATGACACTGTCGACGTCAATGTCCGTCGACTGAGACATGGTGGCCCTCTGGCAGCCCTCAGGCCTGCCCCTTCCCTGGTCGCCCTGCTCTACGCCACTCCTCCCACTTCAACACACACTACCACTACCAAACCGCACCCGCAGAGGTCCGTTAAATAAGCAGGGCGGAAAGGGCCACCAACAGACTGGCCGTGCGTACGCCTCCACAACCAGCCCTTTCTTCTCCAAAACCAAACGACTTCTTTGAAAGCTCGCACAGGCGATCAGGTTTCCACGCCCCTTTTTCGTCTGCCTTGGAAGCAGACTGGGAGCATCTTGGGCTATCGTCGGAAAAAGGCTTCAAACTTTCAGTTCACTTTGCGTACACCCTGAGGGCGCCAAGGTGACCGCCGACTGCGCTCGAACATCCGCAGTGGTACGCAGGCAGGCACCTCGTGTGCCACAGGACGGGACAGAATCAGCCGCCTGTCTGTATGCCTGTTTAATTGTGGTCTGTGTGGCGTCCCTGCCTGCAGGTGTGCTTGTCTGGGGGGTTCGATAACTGTCGTACGATGGCTGCGGTGCTGCTGGGCGCATGTGTTCGTGTGTACATTACTTGTAAGTAAGATATGTCGGCCGATGTGTCGACGACTGACTGACTGTATTTCACTGAATGTCCGTGTCTGTCTGGTTCTGTGGTCGCCCTTTCTATGGTACCTACCGGCCGTGTACGGCTGGATTGGTCGGTCTGTCTGTCTGTCTGGATGCACTGTCAGTCACCTGCCCGCCCGTATATGAGTATGTGAGTATAGAACAGACAGACAGACAGACAGGTGAACACACATATACAGTACACACATCTGTCCGTTGGACTGCCTGCATGTCAATTTGTGTGGATGGGAGAGAATGAGACTGTTCTCAAGAGAGAGAGAGAGAGAGAGTTTCGGTTTTCCTGCATCCATCCAGTGTGTCCTCCCCCCTCTCTCTCTGCTTTGTGGGTATCTCCGTAGCCCAGCCCGAGATGCGCACGGAGGGAAAGTGGACAGACACGCGCCACTGTGATAATTCCATGTCTACACACACTGACACTGACAGTGACACTTGACTCGACACACATGGATGGATGGATGGATGAATGGATTTGTGCAGTGCCTGCTCATCCTGATTGACTTCCTCTACTACCTGGTGGCCAAAGCCAAGGGAATGACCGACATCTGACCGACAAGACACCTTAATGGTTGCGGCCACTCGGTCGTGAGAGGAATTATTGGCCGTGCCATGGCTGTCTGTCTACCGGTGGACTAGCTCGGTGCAGGGCTATGGATAACCAACTGGATGTGTGTGACGGCATCCAGAGAAACAGACATAGAGAAAGGCCAATTTGTCTGAACGGGATGTGCGTGACGTTACCCGTTGCCCAAGTATGTATGTGTTCTGCATGAATCTTACATTGACCGTGTGTCCTTTCCGTGTGTCTCTTACAGTCGTCACAAGCAGTCACACACACAAGGCATTCGTCCCGCACAGCATCACAACACCACACCACAGAGAAACCAGCCAGCCAGAGAGCCCGACGCGGGCATCAGAGACAGCGTGACGGTATGTAGTGGGGGGTCAGCTCATCTCATCTCATCTCATCTCATCCATCCATCCATCCATGCGCCACACATCCATTCATCGATCCATGCATCCATCCACCTTGAGAAATCACCGTAAGTGCCCAATAGGACACGCAACATCAAGTCACGTCCTCTACACACTCCACACATGGATGGGATTAGATGTGTGTGGGGCCGGCCAGTGTGTGAGTGAGGGCGCATACGTACACGCACGAACAGATGAGGTGCCGCCGGCACGTATGTGGTCGATCGACAAAAGAAAACAATAAAAACCGAGAGCAGGCGGCCATTCCAAACGTCCATCCATCCATTCATTGTGTGCTGCCCGAGTGCCGGGCCCGTCGGCCAGGCGAGCTTGACGGCGGGCCATCTCACACCGGGTTACGCACAACAAACAGACGAACAGACATACATACAGACAGACAGACACAAGGGAAGGTCAAGAGCGCCGCTCAGTGAAGAGCAGCGCAAGCACTCAAGGAGAGGCTAGCGGACAGACGGACAGAGGCCAATCGACACATACACACAGCAGCAGCATGACCGCACACAACAACACCATCCCACACCACACCACAGCATACCATACACACCCGCCCCCGACAAGCACACCACCACCACCCGGTTTTTTCGGTCAACGAGAACAGCGCCGACGCACATAAGTAGACAGACGGGGAGAGGACAGCGACACACCACACCCAGGCACACAACAACAGCAACAACAACAACAACAACAAAAGAACCGGCCGCACATCGGCGGCTAGAGGTGGAACGTAATCAACACAAACGAAAACGGAGCATCGTCACGACACTCGGCGAAAAACTCACAGTGTACGCACCATACGGTACGATGGGCAAAAGGAAAGTTAGGATGAGGAGAACAAAAGGCAAGGGGTAGGGCTGCTGAAAAAAGACACGGAGGCATGAAAGGAAATCGAAAAAGGCAGGCAGCCGCTGCGGCTGCTCAAAAGGGATACAATACACTAATTAATGAACTAACGTACATCCATACCATTAAAAAAAAAAAACAAGAAACAGCCATCCTCTCCCGTCTGTCTACATATGGCTCAGCTGGTGGTGGCGGTGGGTGGTACACACAACGAAAAAGACAGGACACTCGGGCTTCCGTCCGGCCACACACCGGCGAGCGACATACACAACACCATGACGGCCCCGCCCATATGCCGTTGGTTCGTGTACCGCCACGTGTAAGTGTGGGGGCCAGCTGTCTGTCGTGTGCGTGAGCGCGCGTGTGTGGTGTTAGTTACCATCGGCACGACCTCTCTCGATTCAATAAGTGGCAGCAGACAGCCAGGCGCCAAATGCGTCCATCCATCCATCGGTGAGTGAGTGAGGGAGCAAGGCAAGAAGGACATCCATACATTGGAAAAACTGACAGCCAGCCAGCCAGCCAGCCAGCCAGGCAGACAGACCATACATACAGCACACCCGCAAGTGAGACTGTAAAAAGATGGCCACGAGGGGCCGCGTGTGTGTATGCGCGAGGGGGCAAGGAAAGAAGCACGTCGATCCCCCAACCGACCGACCGACCTCAGCACGGAATCCACGGCATCCATGGCGACCATCCATCCATCCATCCATCCATCCACACATGATGCATACGAACACCCAGCCAGTCAGGCAGGAGGCAAGGTGCCGACCAAAAATAGCATCATGCAGAGCCAAGTGAGTGGGTGGGATTCATCGATCGTATCATACATACCCGACGCAGTGGCGCCCACACACTGAGTATGCAGGCACCACCAACACAGCACAGCTCACCGATTAGACAAATAGGAAGCCAGCCATCAATGCACTCGACAGGCGCAGGCAGGCACGCATGTGTTGGAAACAGGCCATCCATCCATCCATCCACGAGAAACGTCTTCTGGACTGGACACCAGCCACTTGGCGCCCCATACGTACGTGTCGTGTATGCCTCACTACGGATGGGTTATGTGGACGGAAATAGATACTCTAGGGACTAGTGAGTGATCGTGATCGTGCCTCGGCAGCACCACAAGCAGCACAAGACACTGTCCAAAGAGAAGCATGCACAAAGAGGTATCACGACGAAGGATACGGCTCTTCGCTGTACGGCACACAGCGAAAAACGCTGGCTGTGTTGAGGCGTCTCCGCCATGCTCTCTCCCAGATCTCTCTCTCACACGTGCGCACATACACCCACACCCACAAAACGAGCCATATATTGCATCCATCCGCCCAGTCCACTGACAGCCGATATCTATCTATCTGTGTTTGGCCGAGATGGGAAGGGCGAGAAAGGCTAGCGAAGAGTCAGTCAACGAGGACACAAATACATTTCATGTATATCCATCAGCAAATCGCCACGGCCACACCTGCCTCACTCACTCACTCACTCACTCACCCCATAAATACGTAAGTTGGTGCATCCAGGCGGACGACAAACAGCCATTCCACACACTCGACAAAGAGACGGCCAGACAGGCAGACAGACAGACAGGCAGCTGTGTAGGGCTCGTTTCGCAGCAACAGATATACCGGCTGGCAGGCACCAGCCAGACCAAGGGTAAATTGCACGACAAAAACACACACATAAATCAACGAGTGACATCGACAAAGAGGCACAGCTACACACAAAGAAACCCACAACAACGAGGACACGTGCGACAGCTATCTCTGTGCTGTGCGTGCCTTTCTCTGGTGGGTGTTGAGAAGGACGGGCGCGGTGGGTGTGTTAACTCTACAGAGGCAGTCGTGGGAGTGCTGCCTGCTGGATCCTCTCCTCTCTCTCTCTCTCTCTCTCCGGTAAGTATCAGTCCATGAATGAAGGGAGCAAGGCACTATCGTCAGATCTATCTGTGTGTGCGGGGGGAGGCAGGCAGGTACATGCAGCCAGACAGCTAGCAGTAAGGCAGCATCCAACCATCCATATCATATCATATCTGTCACCTTTCCACCACCCACCCTCCCTCCCACCTCCCTCCCTCCCTCCTACCACACTCAGCCACTCACTGGGTTATCCGAACACTCCTGACCGTCTTGGTCCACCTGCTGATGGTGGTGTTGGCCGCACCCACATAGGCCGCTGCCGCGCTGCACCGCCGCACCGTCTTTACCATGTTGTACCCCTCAGACACCAACGAGTGGCCGTCGCCACGGACGAATGAAGTGCACTCCACTGCGGCGCCATCCTGGGACTGGTCGGCACGAGCATCGTTCTGGCCGGGGGTGATGGCCTGGTCGTCCTCCTTCGGCGCGCGCGGGGCGGAGATCAGCGAGGGAGCAGCGGCGAACGGCTCTGCAACGGCACCAGAGGCGTCACACAACTCGACGTCGACGGCCTGCAGACAGAGACCAGCAAGAGCGACACGGGCAGTGCAGTGCCATCCATCCATCGCTTTGCTGTGTGAGAAGAAGTGTGCAACACACCTTTGCTTGATCGTCCTGAGGCCCGTTGACACCCGGTAGCACCACAACCCCCACCTCGTCAGATCCCCCATAGCCCACCGAGTAGCCCTCCCCCGACCTCTCGGCCTCGTCGAACACGATGGCCACGGAGGACTCCCGTTCGGCAGGCGCGTCCTCTCGGCCGTCTGCGGCGGCATGTTGGATCTGCTTATGCTCAAATGGGGCGGGGAGGGGGGAAGGAGTGGAAGCAGACACGCCGTCCAGCTCACCACGAACAGCAGCAGCGGCTCTTGAACGGCCCTCGTCAACGACCTGACAGACCAAACAATCAAGGCAACCACATCCATCCATCCATCCATCCATCCATCCGAGTGTTGTGTTATCATGTGGGTGAGTCGACCTCACTCGTTCCCTCACCTGTGCAGAGCCGTCGGCAACCTCGTCAACAATGCCCTCCACCTCACCCACCATGACCACACCGTCGTCAACGGCATCATTGCCGACGATCGCCATAGGCGTCGACTCGCCGTTGTGTTGGGAGGGGGCGGGGAGGGGGGAGGAAGCACTAACAGACACGTGGAGCGCCGCAGCGTCCGGCTGGTCAGCATGAGCGGCCACGATGGCACACGAAGGGCCCTCGTCAGCACGACGATACAACTGAAGACACACAGACAGACCCAAGGACCAACACAACACACACGTGCACCCACGGGTGTGGGTCGGCCTCACTCGTTGCCTCACCTGTGCAGAACCGTCGTCAACCTCGTCAACAACACCCACTACGACATCGACATCCCTAATCCCCAACCCATCCCCACCATCCCCACCAAACCCACCCTCGCCAGCAGCCCTGCTACCCTCCTGCACCACCCCTTGGCGGCTCGTGTCGTACTGTGTCGTCAGGCGGGGGGCGGGGGAGGGGGACACACGCACTGCCGACGACTGACGGTGCAAGGCTGACTTGTCCACACCACCCGCTGCACGCCCCTTGTCGCCCACACGTGTGCCCTTCGTTACGTTGGCGCGGGTCGGCGGCTTGGGCGGCGGGGCCTTGCGGGCAACGGGACACTTCGCGCGACCTCCGGCGAGCTTGGGGTTGTTCTGGAGCATCTCCCGATATGTCCTCAGCTCCTCCTCCTCGGCCCTCTGATGTGCCCTCGCCTTTGCGGCCGCCCTCTCCCTCTGGCGCACAGCCGCTGCGGCCATATGAGGATTGACGTCAGGTCGACCACTGGGCGGCTTGCTGGCGATGCATGCACCGCTGCCGAGTCCTGCAGGCCGCTGAGGACGGCACTGGTGGCCACTGCGATGGTGCTGCGCCTTGCTGCTGGTGCCGGGGGGCCCTTTGGGGGGATATATGCCGCAGCCCATGTAGCTTGCGCGCCCCGACAGTCTGTAGTCCGCCACGAGACCGTTCTTCCTCACCGCCGCCGGCGGCATGGTGGTGGATATGGCGCGAAACGACGAGAAAACTTATCAAACACTGGCAACTGTTCTGTTGCTGCCTGCTCTTGCCGGCACTCCTCTTCTCGGCTGCTTTTTTCTCTCCTCCGCGCGAGCTTGAGACGAGCGGTTTCACGCAATGTCCTAAGATTCATCGACGTTCTGCTGAGGCCATGTTTGCGACCAGGTAGCCACCGCACTCACCGCAGACACATCCCGACCAGCAGACGGCCCTGCAGCACCCATCGATTGTGCATTGCATTTTGTTTGTGTCGTGTGCCTGCCTGTGCCTGTCTGTTGGCTGTGTGTGCAGGAGTGAGTATGACCGCGGCGTCAACACCTTCTCGCCAGAGGGCCGCCTTTTCCAAGTCGAATATGCCATCGAAGCCGTCAAGGTCACAGATCACAGACTCACGCCGTGCCCGTGATATTCTCTCTTGTGTGTTGGTTACGCAGCTTGGTTCGACTGCCGTGGGGATCCAGACGAGCGAGGGCGTGATATTGGCTGTGGAGCGGCGGCTGGCGTCACCTCTGGTGGTGCCGAGTTCGATTGAGAAGATCTACGAGCTCGACTACCACATCGGATGCGCCATGAGTGGACTCATCGCTGACGCACGGTGTGTGGGTGTTTCCATGATCCCCCCACACATAAACACAGCAATGCCATCCATCCATCCATCCCGGGGTCGTTCGGTGTTTTGTGTGTGTTGTGTGTCCACCAGGACTCTGGCCGACCACGCCCGCACAGAGTGCGCCAATCATTTCTTCACCTTCAACGAGCGCATGTCCACCGAATCCTGTGTCCACGCCATCTCTGACCTCGCACTCGACTTCTCAGGCACAGAACATCAATCACATGACGACGGCCGGCACCCAGACAGACAGACAGACAGACACATCGTTTATGTGTGTGTGGGGGTGACAGATGTGGCTGACCGGCGCGACCGCAAGAAGCTGATGAGCCGTCCCTTTGGCGTGTCGCTGCTGGTGGCGGGAGTCGACGATGACGGCCCGTCACTGTGGAAGACCGACCCCACCGGCACCTACTCCAAATGCACCGCAGCTGCCATCGGTCGGTGCACTCTTACATTACACCCTCTGCACACACAGGTTTTCACACGAACGGGTGACTAGTGAGTCTGTGTCGCGTGCCGATGGGTGTGTTGGCAGGTTCGGCGTCAGAGTCGGCGCAGGGCACCCTGCAGGAGCAGTACAACAAGAGCATGACACTCAAAGGTCGCAGTGAAATGTCACTCATCCGCAGGCTCTTCGTGTGCACCCTGTTGCTGTGTTGTGTCGTGTCGTGTGGTGCTTTGATTGGCAGAGGCTGAGGATTTGGCGGTGACGATTTTGAAGCAGGTCATGGAGGAGAAGCTCACCAAGAGCAACGCGGAAATCGCAAGCGTCAGCATGGACACCAAAAGGTACGCGACACCTGACATACACACACACACACACACACACACAAATACGGGTGTGTGTGCGCGTGTGCCTGTTGGTGCCGTCCCTACAGGTACCACCTGTACACGCCCGACGAGCTGCAGACGATCATCGACCGGGTCTTCCCACAGGGCATCTCAACCGAGCCAGGTACCTACCTGTAGACCGACCAAACCAACCAATGCAATGCATTCATCCTGTCCTGTGCATGGCGTGGCATGTGGCCGATGGGGTGGTGTCTCCGTGTCGTCTCAGGCACATGACGACTGACTGACTTATCGATTGTATGACTGAGTTCGTTGCAAACAGCTGGTCTGGTGAATGTGTGTACCTCTGGGCATTGATTGCATGTGTGCGGCGGAAATGTGATTTTGACGACGGTGAGATCGGCCTGCTGCCCCCTGGCCTCAGTGGGCAGAGCACACCTATCTCGTCGTGGGCAGAATCACCTCCGTGGCGCGTGTGCTACGTGCGTATCCAGAGGGGCGAGAAGAGAACCAACAAGGAAGGAAACCTCAGCTCGGTCAGACTTGTTTGAGGTGAAGAGAAGGCGACCAACTGCGTGGATGCATGGATGGACGCGAGGTGCATGCTATGCTCATCTGTATCTTTATCGCATCTTCCGTTGCACGTGTTCAATTATTTAAAGTCGACCCCCCGCCCCCACCCCCTTTGGGCACTCCACTCCAACCAAGCACGTATGCAGGCATGGCATGTACCCCCACGCCACACACGCACGTGCACACGCGTTGTCCGTAAGACCCGGGATGGATGTTGGAAAAAGAGAAGAGCCCTCAGTCAGCCATTCGGTCGGTCCGGTCCGGTCCGTGCAGTCAGTCTGTCTGCCTGTCTGTCATTCTGTCACACACATCGTGTGGGTCGAGAAAGCTGCTTGTACGTCTGTCTGACTGCCTGCCAGCCTGCGTCACCCATGCGCCTACCGACTTCTGTGACCACTCCTGTCCGTCTGTCTGTCTGTCTGCCTGTCTTGTGTATCTATCATACCAGCCACATCAGTCCAACCCCTCTCTGCCTCCCTGTCTGCCTCTCATGCATGGAGCTAGATGGCATGGAGCGTATCGTATCGAATCAGCAACACACAGCACGACAGCACGACAGCACGGCACAGCGTCTCCGGCTGTCTGTATGTCTGTCTGTCTGGCTGCCATGGGGCCGGCCACACACACGAGTACCATGGCAGCCACACACACGAGTACACGTGAGCTCCCGAGTGAGTGAAGACACACATGCCTCCCTCTCTGGATGCAGTAGGTAGATGTGAGCCGATCACATGACGCCGTCTGCCCGCCCGCCGCCTGCCTGATGGATGTATGTGCGGTGCGTGCGCCTCCAGCCAGCTGGGCTGGTGGCGGCTGGCCGGGCCTCGGTTGTTACAGGGAAGGAAGGAAGGAAAGACACCTGCCTGCTTGCCTCCTCTCCGCCCACTCACTTAATCTCGCCCCCTGCACCACATCAAGCGAATAAGACGGCAGACAAGACGAGCGGCGTGGCCTGGCCTGTCGTGTCATGGAGCCCTTGCACCTACCTGTCCAGGGTGGCGGCCACTGGAAATCCGGGTTGGGCACAAACTCATCTACACGTCAGTCAGTCAACACACAGACAGACGGACAGCCGCAAACGATGTCGATCAGTCTCGCTATCTATGGGGTTGGTTGCTGGATGCATGGATGGATGGATGGGTGGCGTACCTTGGACCCATGTGTACGAGATGAGGTGTGTTTTGGTCCACTGTTTGGCCTTGAGGCGGTTGTCGGGCGACACCTTCTCCACCCAGTCGCGATACATGTCGTTGGTCACAATGCAGCCGTCGTGACGCTGCGCATACTGAACACAAACACAGACACACAGACATACAAGACAGACATTCAGTGGAGTGGATGGAGAATCAGTGGCAGCAGAGGGTTGCGTACGCCGATGCAGTACGAGTCGTCGTAGTCTTGCGGAGGAGTCACCACCACAGAACCTGCAGAATCACAATACATGACGTCTCGTCTCGTCTTGCCCTCCCACAGATCGGATGCACCGACACACCAGCCCCCCCACCTACGCCCTGTCTGTCACATACCTTTCTCGATAAGTTGCTGCAGCAGTTTGACGTCATCGGGCACCTTTGAGGCGCTGCCCATGCCCATGGCCACCAGCCGCTTGGCCTCCCCCACCTCCTTGAACTTGGAGAGGTACTCGGGCAGGAAGGCCACCACACGGTGGCCCTGACCCTGGAAATGCTCTATCACTATCTGCAGACCCCGCACCGAAAACTTCTTCTGCGTCACACCGCCGTGACGCATCGCTATGTTGGACGCTGTACACACACACACACACACAGATGAGTGCACGGTTTCCCTGTCTGTCTGTCTGTCTGCATGGCCCACTCACCGTCGAGAACGATCAGAGGTGCCACTTCCCTGCTGCTGGTGGATGGGGGCGGGGGAGGTGGCTGGGGCGCGCGCATGACAGACACGACAGGTGAGCCAGGGGCATGCACCAGCACCACATCATTGACGCCCTGCGCAAATGGGTTGCGCGAGAAGGGCTGAGGGGACGGCACCGCTGGCTGCGGGGCAGGGGGCACCGGCTGCTGCTGATGCTGCTGCTGGAGTTGCAATGGGGGAAAGTGGGGCAGCATAGGGCCGCCGGGATGGCCTCCCCTCGCTGCAGCCATCTGGTGGTGCGGTGAGAAATAGGTGAAGCTAGACCCCCGGCCTCCTCCCCCTCCCCTGCCGGCCCCCTTCCCTCTGGCCTGCTGTTTGTGTGGTGCCCGCTTCTGCTTGGGCCGGCCCCCTCTTGGCTGGTGGCCCAGGCCTCGCCCCCGCGGCCGCATTGGGTACATGGGCGAGTGCGGCTGGGGGTAGTAGGACCTCTTGCCTTGCCGCAGCTGCGGCATGTCCACTTCAGGGAGGTCGGCGGCCAGGGCGTAGAGGCGCATGATGCGGACGTCCTGCGCCTGGTCTTTCTCGACCATCTCGTTGAGGCCAGGGTGGATCGGGTGGGAGGGCACCACCTTGTGCCAGTACTTGCGGCCGAAGAAGAAGCGGCCCATCTTGCTGCTGCTGCTGCCGGTGGTGGTGGTGGGTGTGTCCTCGTCTGACGCCTCGCCCCCCGCATCGACATCGTCCGTTTCCTCCTCTTCTCCCTCCTCGTCGTGTGCATCACCACTCTCCTCCTCGTCAATGTCGTCATGCCCATTGTCGTCAGGAGGGGTCTCAGAGTCGAAGACAGACGACACCACGGCGTTGGCCATTGCACGGCCGGCCAAGTCCTCGGGGCTGCCGAACCCCTCTTCATCTTCCTCCTCATGGCCGTGCCCGCCGGCCCCGCCGCCAGCCTGCGCCGCTTCGTTGACGAACAGCAGGGGGTTCATGGCGGTCGGCATCGATGTCGGCGACGCATCACCCTCACCCTCACCGGCAGCCGTCGACGGGTGCTCGCCGCCGCCGTTAGCTGCCGGAAGCTCCTCCTGCGGCAGCGTTTCTGGGGCTGGGAGTGGTGGTGGTGGCGCGGCCTGCTGTTGTGGTTTCTTCCAAATCATGATCTCCCCGCCATCGCTGTCGTCATCCAACTCATCCTCATAGTCGCACCAGCGCCGAGATGACGATGCCGGGCTGGGACCAGAGCTGGCCGCCTCGCCACCACCGCCATCAGTCGCCCCAATGGCGGCATCGAAACCCGGCGGCAGCGTGGGGACGGGCTGCTCATCGCTTGCACCAGCGGCAGCAGCAGCGGGTGTGACAGGCTTCAACGGCGGCGAGAGATCGGCGTCACTCGGGATGGCTTGTTGATCGTCTTGCGGGGGCGGGGGAGGTGGTGCTGGTGGTGCTGGTGGTGGCGAAGTGTCGAATGCGTCGTCCCAGTCCCAGGCGCCTGGGGGCATGTAGGGCGGGAAGGGCACCAGGCCAATCAACAGACGGTCCTCCGGGAGCCAACCGGTGGTCAACAGAGACTCTAATGGACACACACAGACACACACAGACAGACAGACAGACACAAATAACAATGCTATGGAGAGGCCTTGGCTCCCTCCATATGTTAGGCGTGTCTACCAGGCTGTTGGTGTGTTTGCCGCAGTGTCTTGGAGACGGCCATCGCCCGCTGTGCGACGATCTCACGCAGACGCACCACATCCCGACGCACTGACGTAAACAGCTCTGAACGCATTTACACACAGCCACAGCCACACAGCCACACACACACACACACACAAACAAAAGAAAGAGGGAGATTCGCATTAGTTGTGCTGTGCTGTGTGTGGGTCATCTCGTCCTACCCGGGTTGCATCTGAGCCAGTAGAGTCCGAGGACGCATGGCTGCACAGCGGGCGAAGAGGGCGACGTCAGCGACTCAAATATCACACCCAAAGACCGCACCAGCAGCTGCGTCCACACCATGACAGACACTGGTGCCATGCCAACCCCCGTCGCGTGTCTGTCGCGTTGCTCCATACCGTTAGGGCGTGAGACGCACAGTCATTCCGCTCCAAGTGCTGCTCGGTGATCGGCAGAGCTGCACAAGGGCATTGATTACAACATCTGTGCAGCTAGCTCCATCTCCCTCACTGTGTGTGGGGCTTCGTTCGCTTCGCTTACAGGTGCACAGTTCAAGAGGCAGCTCGCTGTAGATGTCCCTGACAGTCTTGGCGGGTGCCTCTGCGCCACCGGTCACCTCAGGGGCGCCCTCACCGTGGCCATTCTCCAGCTGCTGCTGCGATTGGGTGGCCTTGGCCTTATCCCCGCGGAGCTGCTCCTTCTCAACCACCTCAACTGAAGACGGATACACACAGAAAGGCAGAGGACTTGGTTCGTTGGTTGATCTCGTTCTCCCCCTCTGACTGAAACCCACCTTGTCTGGCCTTTTCGTGCAGGCCTTTGGCCACGCCACTCGCGTGCACAAGGGCAGAGATGTTCATGCCAACCACTGCACACACACAAAGGGGATAAGGCGACGTGCACCGCTGTAGCTGTTGTGTGTAGCTGTTGTGTGTGGGTGTATGTCTGACCGTGAAGGAGCATCAGGGCGTTGAGAGGAGCCTCCTGCTTGCCGATGAGGGCCCGCCGGAGGCTCTCGATGCACGGCTCCAGGTGCTCGGCGAACCGCTCCAAAGACATCTTCTCATACAACATCATGTGCAGACGGAAAAACCTGAACTCCACAACACCATGCCAGCCACATGCACACACACGGCCTTATGGCGAGCACTTGCGTCTGTGCCTGACTGACTGACCTTTGCATAAAAATGTCGATGGGTCTGACAAGCTTGCCCTTAGCGGCCAGGGTCTGCTCGTCGCCCATTTTCTGCATCGTCCCGATGAGGAACTCGTGATTCAGAAACGGAAACGTGCTGAGCACCGCAACAAACACACACCACAAGAGAGACCGCAAATTTCGCATTAGTCGGTCGCAGGTAGGTTGTGTCACGTGTGTGAGCCACGTCGCATCGCAGGTCACCATGCGATGCTGCGGTATCGGTAGTAGACCACACCGGGTATGTCCACTTGCAGAAGACCATGCACCACTGCACACACGCACGCAGGCACGCACTCACGCCGTCATCCCAGCCCCCTCCCTCCCCCACTGACCGCCGAGTTGGTTCCATATTTTGCCCTCCTGTGGGTACTGTCGCAGCGCCTCGGCGTAGAACACCCACGCCTCCCCCAGCGCCGTCAGCGGCCGCGCGTCGTCCTCAATGTCGAGCGGCAATATCTCATCCACTGAGGGCTTCTGACCTGCACCCCCTGTGGCATGCAGGCACACAACGGAGGCAATGGTTGATTGTGGTGATGGGATGGGGTGTGTGTGTAGAGAGGGATGGGTGTGTTGCTGTCACTAGGAGGGTGGCTGGATATCTGACTGACCTGCCTCTGCTGTTTGTTGGTATAGTGATGAGCAGTTGTCGATGTGGACGGCCTGGTAGCGCTTGATGTCGCCGTACTGGCTGTAGAGGTGACACAAACTGTGGCGGCTGCAACTCGACGAGGCGTCATTGTCCTGTTCGTTCAGCCAGCCACACACAATGGACGAATGTGGAGCGCCCCAATCCCTTCCTCCCTCGTTGCTCGCTCGCTCGCTCCCCCACTCACTCACCCGACCCACCTGCAGGCCTCCCATGTCGGTGAGGTCATTGGCCACATTCTCCACCAGCTGCCTGTAGAAGTCATTCGCCGTCTCCAGGAACTCACGCAGACGCTGCTTCGCCTTGCTGTAGCTCTGCTGGTACTGCACCAGCTTGCCGTCATCCGCCTCCTCCTGCTGCTGCTGCTGCTGTTGGTGTTTGGCGATAGCCTCCTTCCTCTGCTGAATGTCGTCGAGCATCTTCTTGATGAACTTGTAGTGCTCGAGCCACAGCAGCAGCACCAGCTGCTTGGGCAGCACACGGCTCTCAGCCAAAGTGGCACGGACACGCCCTGCCAGCTTGTCACGGACAGCCCTCCCCCAGTTCTTGAGCCAGTCGCCACCACCACCTGCAGCAGCTGCTGCTGCTGCCGACGGTGCCGCCCCTGTTGCTGCCAGTTGCGCAGAGAAGGGAATGGGGGCCGCGCCTATGACGGCAGGAGGCTGTTGCTTTTGCTGCTGTGGCGGGTCGGTAGGGGCGCCATCGTCCTGACCGCCTGTAGTGTGGTGTTGGAAAAGGCTGAATAGCGTCTGGGATTGGTCCTGCCGCTCGCGGCCGAAGATGCCGTGGGAGGCGGAAGCACGACGGGTGTCATGGTCTGCACGGGATGAGGATACATCGACGTTGGGGTGGCCGTTGATGGGCGAGGCGGACGTGTCGTGGCGCTGCCTGTCCGATGAGTGGTGCGGAGGGACGTAGAGCTCTCGCTCTCCACGCCGGTTGGTGCGGTCCGTCATGGTCTTGTTCAGCTCAGCTGGTTATCTTGGTGGCCTTCCTTGTGGCTGTTGGCGGGATCAAGGCAGGCTACCTGATCACTGCCTGCTGTCTGCGGCGGCTGTGCTGCCGCCGGTGCGTCAAGGGACGAAGGGAGCGATGTGACCAAGTGCACGATGCCGTCATTCTCCCTGCATACAGACAGAGACCACCACACACGAGAAGAGGAGACCTCTGGCAGCGTTTGTGCATCGTCGTGCTGATGCCATTTCTAGTTCTGACCTGTCGCTTCACGAGAGGGAGCATCGTGCTAGGTCACAGAAACATCAGAAAGCGCTAGCCCCTCATCAGGCCGTCATGAGCAGCAAAGGAACGCCATCGCCGCGTGTAGGCGACCGACGAGGCCTGGCGAGCGCTGGTGCATCGCTGGGAGGACGGGCACCATTTGATACAGCCTCCGGAAGTACTCACGCCCTTGGAGAAAGGCCAAACCCTGGCAGTGCAGGTTTCACCGAAACCCTGCATGTGCAACCCCTCTGATTTCATTCATTCCCTCGCGCTACGGACATCGATCAGTATCAGAGCAGTGTACCCCTTCCCTGTGTCCTGTGTCTGTGTCAGCAACACACGCCCCTGCATGCAGCTTGGAAGACACAGCCCCTCGGAGTCCCGACTTTCCTCCCACTGGTGCCGCCTGATTGAGGCTGGTGTTTCCCTCCCTGGCTGTCCGTGAAGGCATGCACCAACCTCGCTCTCAAGTCTTCCTCCCTCCCTAACCTTCACGACCCTCTCCTCCGGGCATACACGCAGCCGCTCCATTGCATTTCATGTGTCGTCTTCATATTCGTCTTCGGAGGGCATCTCGCTGGCGTCCTCAATCAATATGTCTGGCTTCAACTCGTGGGCCTGCTTGTGGGTGTCGAAGACCTGCTTGAAGCCACGAAGCACCTCTGATAGACGCATACATAATGCACGTGACACCGTGCGGGAGGAAGGTCGGTTAAATGTGCTACGTCCGTGTCTCCCTTTCCCTCGTACCTAGTGTCTCCTCCTCAGCGAGCAGGTCTGCCGTCTCGTACTGAGTCCCGGAGTCCTTACGCTGCGGTGCCTGCACATACATGAGCAGCCGTACATTCGTGCAGACAAGGGAGATGCAAAACGATTAATCCCGAAGTCCGACCTTCTTGGTGGGCTTTGATTTCGACCCACGAGCCTTCTCTCCTGTGGCCGATAGTGGGCTGTCCTGGCTCCCATGTTTGCGCAGCGGTTTGGGGCTGTGCTTAGGGCTGCCATACACAGCTGCGATGGTCTTTCTCGCCTCCTTGGCTTTGTCCGGCCGTACGGCCTCCGTCTGCCGCCTGGCAGCCGATATCTGGGGGGCCGACTGCTTCTTGGGCAGGGGCATCTGCAGCTGTCTGGTGCCCTTCTTGTCCAGCTTGCGCGCCTGGCTGGGTGTGGAATAGGACAACTGGCTCATCTTCAGTGGGGAGGGCGCATGGGAAGGTTGCTGGGAGACGTCTCTGCTGCTGCTGGCGTCTGCTGTCTTGGGCGAGCCGGTGCTGTGTCGCTTCGACGTTCGGCTGGCAGCGGCCTCGTCTGTGGCCACTGACGAGTGGCGGATGCTGGACACCGAGCTGTGGTGGTCGGAGGCGGTTGAAGGGGGATAGGCGGGGCGTTCGGGGGGTGGAGCGGGTGGCTGCTCCTCCTGTTGTCTCGCTCCTGCCTCCTCTTCCTGCTGCCGATGGCTCGGCGACTCCTCGGGCGTTTCCTCGTGGCCTTCACCTAGCCATGCGCTTGGTGCTTTGGTCTGGGCGCTGCGCAGACAGGGGGCACATTCATGCACACATGCGATTTTGTTGTTACCTTTTGAAGAGGCCGAGGATGCCCTGCAGCGGCTCTGCAGAAAGGGGTGTTGACGTCAGCCAAAGATGGATGGATCACATTGGGGTGGGGTGTGCATTAATAACGGAGGGTACCTTCCTTGGCGTCCTCTTCATCTTCGTCCTGAAGGAAGGACAAACAAACACCAATAGCTATCACCTAACACCTCTGCACGAGGAACCGGTCGGCCGCTCACCTCGCCCACCAGGTGCCGAAGTGTTTCATTCATCGCCTGAATGCAGGCTCACAAATGCACCCCCGTATCAAAGCGTCCAAGTATATCGCTCCTTTCCACTCACCTGCACCACTTTAGTGGTCTTTTTGTAAATGGTATACTGGTCGGCTGCCTTGCGCGAGCCGAATATGTCCTCCAGTGCCGGCATGCTGCGCCCAAACATCTGCCAGTCGGGCACCAGGAGATTACTCTCGAACACCGATATGGCGGGCAGGCCGATGACGGGGCCCTTGGTGGCTAGGTCGACCTTGGTGGACAGCCGCCTATAGAAACTCGGTCGCCGACCGCCGAGGGCTGCATTGGACTCACGGCGCTTGAGCAGGGTCGCCACTGTCTGTAGGCGTGTGGGGGGCACACCCAACTGCAGCCAGCAGATGGAGACACGGGTACGTAAATGAGGAAAGAACACGGGTCAACTTGACCCTAGGGGAATGGTTTGTGCGCTCACCTGCCGCTCTATCTTCCGCCGGCTTCGTGGAACAAACAGGACAAGAAAGAGAGCAAGCAGAGGTGAGAGGCTCTTCCGGTTAGGAAGGACTCACATTTTGATGCGGCTTGCGAGGAGGATTCGTCGACCAGATGTGGTGTAGAAGAGTCTGTTCTGAAAAGCTTCTTCCTGCACACAAAGGACGAAGACAGAACCCTCATCAACATTCGCTCACACCCTGTCCGTCTCCTCCCAGCGTGCTTGTCGGTTATGCAGGTGAGAACGTACTGGTGATCTGTGTCTCTCCGACAGCTTCACGCTGAGGGCCTCTCGATGGAACTTGGGCTTGAAGAAATGCTGCACGAACCAATCTGAAACACATGCACATGACTCATTCGACTTTCTTTTGAGTCTTGTTGCCCTTGGCTGACCATCGAGCAGCTCCCCGTGTGATTCGGAGTTCTCCGTCTCCTTCTCGGCAGCCTGTCAATAATCAAGCAACCAACCGCCTTCTGTCGGTGTGCCTCCTGTCTTCGTGCCACCAGTGGTGTCCTACCAGTGCGGCAGCTGCCTGCATGCGCCACCTCATCTCCGACTTGCCCTTTTCCGTGTGACTGAACACAACCTACATGCACGACCACACACACACGCACAAACAAGGAAATTTCACAGACCGACCGTCGGCCTTCGTTCCACCGGTTGCCCCCACTTACCGATTTCGCTCTTTGCATCCTCTTGCGCTTGTCAAACCTGACCGTCTGCCCTTGTTCTGGAGCCCCCGAGGCTTCCCCAGAGGATGACATACTCGCACTCCGGCTCTTGTCCTCAGCCCGCCCAAGATTCCTGCCCTTGTCCTCCACCACATCAGGGGCCTCCAGCGCCTCTGCTCCCCTTTCATCGGCCACTTGCTCCGATGAGCTCTCCCTATCAATTGGCGGCAATGACCTCGGCTGATCAGCCGCCTCCTGTACAGGCTCTTCGTGCCCAGCGGCCGCTGCAGCGGCAATTGGGGGAAGTAGAGATTCATCGGGGCCCTCACCAAGGGAAGGCTCTGTTGCCCTGACCGACACAGCAAGGGAAACCACCGGTCTCGTATCATGGCAAGGTGAGACGTTTCTGCTTTGTGGCCATATCATGCACTTACCGTCTCTTTGCCCCCCCACCGCCTCTCTTCTTGGTAGGGCTCAGCGAGCCAGAACGCGCCATGCTCTTTCGCGTCCTCTTGGACCCTGCCGCCTTCTGTGGCCTGGGTGGGATCCACGGCCGATGCTCGTCGTCCAGGGGAAGCAAATATCTACACAGACAGACAGACAGACCGACACTAGTGGGGTGGGGCAGGCAGCCATGCAGGCAGGGAGTCCTTCGCTACAGGAACGGAGGGACGTTGCTCGGATACGCCGCCCCATGGACAGCCTCCTCCTGGATTTTGCGGCTGACGGCTGCATTCGACTGGCAGATGTTGGCTCTCGAAGGCCGGTAGTATCTGAAAACATACCCCCTCATCCAGAAGTGCGTCATGCAGCGTCCCCTTTGTCAGGCAGTGTGTCGGTTCGCCACGTACGGGCCGTGAAGGTAGGGCTGGCCATCGTCAGGGTCAACGGTGTAGTAGAACTCTAGCCCCGGCCTCAGAAATCGTGCCACAGTGCCTGACTGGTAGATGTTGTTCATCCTTCGCGGGGAGAGAGGGGGAAACTTGACGTCGAGAACTGGCCCGGCCCCAATGCTCGCGAGCCGTTTCAGCGTCACGTGTGCATCCGACACAAACGAAGTACCTACCTCTGCCAAGCACGTACAGGCAACTATCCTGTCCGTCTGCTGACTGTCTGGCTGCACCGCACCATCTATGACTCTTCCGCGATTCATCACATCACCGAGCTACTAATGGCCTACCAAAAAATGACTGCTCGACTTCTATCATGGACGACCACAAGGGAATGGATCACTTGATTGACGGCACAGACTCTCCTGGTATGCACACCGCGTTACAACTCACGCGGGGACAGGAATGCCTTTCAATGCATAGCTGCAGCAAACAACCAATCCCGACGCACACAGACAGTCAGCGTGACAGACCGGCGGAAACCTTCTGGGTCTTACTTCTCATAATTGTTGTTGACCTCACTCCAGTTCACCACCTTCCACCACTCCTTCACGTAATCTGGCCGGCGGTTGTTGTACTTAAGGTAGTCTGTAAACACGACACACAGCGCGCCGCGCGACAGTGTTATGCGTTGGATGTGAATTGGATGCGTTGCGCTACTCACATGCATGTTCCCAGACATCGATTCCCAGGATTGGGATGCCGCTGCCCGAGATCATCAGATTGTTGTCCTGGTTGGGCGTGGTCGTGATCTCCAGCCCGCCCTTTTTGACGATGAGCCACGCCCACCCCGAGCCAAAGACGGCCGTCGCCGCCTTACTGAAGGCCTCTTGGAAGCCCTCCTTGGAGCCCCACACTGCGTTGATGGCCTGCAAAGGGTGAGGGCGATAAGAAGGAGTGGTGTATCTGGCATGTCTGTGGCTAAGTGAGTGATCCTTACCTTCTGCAGAGCTTCTGATGGCTCGCCGCCTTTGCCGACGGGAGCCATCATGCGCCAGAAAAGAGCGTGGTTGTAGGCACCGCCGCCTGCAGCACAGAGAGAGGCAGCCAAGCCTACCCTTATCTGGATGCAGATCATGCACATCCTTCTGTACCGTTGTTGCGCACGGTTGACCCCAGCTTCATCGCCTCGGCTTGGAGATCAGCCAAGTTCGTCGCACGGGGCTTCTTCTCCTTCAAAGCGTCATTGAGCTTCTTCACGTAAGTGGCGTGATGCTGCAAACAAGCAAACAAAATGACACAAGCAACAAAATGCAGTGGTGTGGACTCGCCTTGTCGTGGTGAAGTTGCATTGTCGTCGCGTCGATTGAAGGCTCCAGGGCTCCGTAGTCATACGGGAGATCCGGCAGCTTGTAGAAGTCTCCATCCGCCATGGCACACGGCACAGAGCTGAGAAAGCTCATAAGAGATCCCGCTGCGAGAAGAGATGCAGTAGCCGCCTTGCGCCGGCCCACGTTGCCGCCGGCTGCTGGAGCTCGTTGTGATGACATGGACATCGAGAGAGACCGTCCGGCGGCTGGCCTGCACCCGGGGATGAATGCCGCCGATGAGAGGTGCACAGAAAAGAACGACAAGAAAATGGCTGTCAGCATGAGGAGCGAAAAACGATGCGGTGGTGGTGCCGCGGTTCGCGCGTCGGCAGGCTCTGGCTCATTACACGGGAGGGATCTACCCCAACTCACACGGAGCTTCGACACGAAGGTTCGTGGAATTGCGGCTACGCCAGCGTCGTGTCGAGGATGGGGCTGGCGCTGGAATGGGAGATCTTTTGCGTGGTCGCTGCATTCATTGCTCACTACGCGTTGGCGTTCTCTCTTCGCGGCATCCCTCTCACCTCATCGCGGCGAAGACTCTCACGCACGTGGCTTGCAGCACGGCAGACACACACCGACAAGATCCCTTCAGTCATCTGTGTGGGAGAAGTGAGTGAGTCAGTGAGTGAGTCATTGATTCATCTACTGACTGTCACCGCAGTGCATGCGCATATACTCACTGCGCCTTTTGGCTTGCAGGTGTTGTGGGATTGCTTCCCTGAGGGACTCTTCCTTGGCGGTGAGATGAAATGGAACACGCCAAAATGACACGACACGAACACAGATCATGAATGATCATGGTTGTGCATCCCGGGGTGCAGGTGCGCCAACCAACGTGGCCACGCACAGCGCTGCATTAGGGCGTCCGGCAGCGGTGGTCTCATGTGTCGGCGATGACGAGCTTGGGCGGCAGGCTCTTCACCGGCTGAAGCAGCGGGATGTTGAGTGCTTCATCAGCTCACACGACAGCCTGCCGACGGGCACTGTCCGGGTAGAGGTGGACCACAGAGGGATCCCCTCTTATGACATTATCAAGCCCGTCGCGTGGGACGATGTTGCTGTGGATGAGGGGGTCATGGCGAGGCTGTCGGCAAGCCCGCCTGACGTGTGCCTGTATGGGTCGCTTGCGAGCCGATCTGCCAAGACGAGACAAACGACATACAGAATCGCCGACACAGCCAAGAGGTGAATGGAATGGAATGGAGGGCACGGCGGGGCGGGGCAGGGCGGGGCAGGGCGGCGGCAGGAGGGTTGTCCTTTGTTCTGCAGGCGGTGCTTTGATGTGAATCTGCGCCCCCCTTATGACTCGAGAGTTGTGGTCCAAGAGGCTTTGGAGAAGACTGATTGGTTGGTGAAGCTGTCTGTTGAGGAATGGAAGACAGTGTCTGAGTGGTTTGACATTCCTCACAGCCTACCAGAAGGTGCATACTTGCCACACACACAGATGCATGGCTGCTGTTGACCACAAACAAACCGCGTGTTTCTGTGTCTGCAGGTGCCCGTCAGTTGAGTGAGAAGTTTGGCATTGAGAGCGTCTGCATCACCTTCGGCGAGCACGGCAGCGGCATGTTCCGGAAAGGTGAGCACTCGAGGAAGGAGATGGAAGGTGCATCACCTGTGTGCTCACGTCACGTCATGACCCCCAGGCCAATGGAAGGAGCACAGAGGTTATGACGTGAGCCCCTGGCTTGAGGACACTGTGGGTGCGGGTGATGCCTTCCTCGCGACTCTGGTCGACCGCCTGCTAACACTGGAAGACACCAACCCACTTCTCTTCACCAATGACTCGCGCGTCGAGCACATCCTGGGAGAGGCGAACCTCGTGGCTGCGTATGTGGCGACCAAGAGAGGGGCCACACCGATGGTCACCCGAGAGGCACTGGAGGGATTCCGCGAGGGGGTCAGGGCGAATGGCCAGTCGGCGGAAGACGATTTCATGCTGCCAGGTGTAAGATATGTTGTCTGACTTTCGGCCTGCCTATGTTGTCTTCACCTGTGGGATAAAAGAGTGCTATATTTGTGAGAGGTGCATGGGCGGGTGCCGCCCCGGGGATCGTGCTGTGTGCGCATTTTTTCCCATCCTTTCCATGCTATACACCGTGTGTGTGTATGTGTATGTGTTGATAGTCAGTCTGCTGCTCTTGATTGCAATGATTGAATCAGATGGACGGACACTTGGCCACTCTGGACTGGTCAGCGTTCATTTCACGTAACTGAGTCAGTTTGCACCGGCATGCAGGCACCAGCAGCAAGCTATACACATGCATCCGCGCCACCCCACACATCATTAATGATGCACACACACACGAGTCAGTCAGGCATCCACATCGCCCTCACCCTCTCCCTCGATATCGTCATGCAAATCGTCCTCTCCCGTGGCGGCTCGGCCGGCAGGCACGAGGCTTCCACCACCGCCATCGCCGTGCAGCCTCTCCGTCTCCAAGAGGAAACGGGTGTGCTCCTGACACGACAGACACCAAACACGTCCGTTCACACACACAGCGCACCCCCGTGTGGTCTGTATGCATCTCTCTCATCTGCTCACGTGCCCTGCCCCACCCACCTCAAAGCGTTCTAAGTATTTGAGAAACCCCATTCCTTGCCCGGCTCCGTCTCCCCCCATGCCCCTCTCGTCCATCCCCACCGCCCCCGCCAGCCGCGCCGCCTCCTCTAGCTCGTCCTCCTCCCTCTCGCGGGTGGGGTACTGGTGAGGAGGACCACTCTGATCACCGCGTTCCCTTCGAGGCTCACGCAGCGACGCTATCACAGCAGCGGCCTCCTCACGCACACGTTCGTCGCATGGGGGAAGGTCCATGCCTGTGGTGATTGATGCATACAGACAGAGACGCACACGTGCATTGTGCTACATTACTGACGGTGTCTGTCTGTGTCTGTTGTTGCTCTCTAGTCCTTGGTTCCAGCTGACTTACTTGGGTTCTGTGCGTGTGGATGCAGCGACATGTCCACCGGTTCTAGGGCGCGAGGCATCATGGTGGGGAACACCTGCGACGCCTCGTCCGGACCATCGAGCTGGTTGGCCAATGTGGCCTGCATGTCGATCTCATTCACCCCAACCTCCGCCAGAGCCGCAGTGATGTCCTGCGACGACACGGGGGCGTGGGCACCACCTAATCCCGGTGGCCGCATGATGCGGCTGAAGGGCTGCTGGGTGCCGAGAGGCGGGGAGCGTGAGCCTTTGCGACGGGCGAGGGCGTGTGGGGACCTCGGGTGGCACTGCTGCTCAGTGATGGCGTCGTAGAGGGGCACGTGGAGGGAGGAGAGGAGGGAGATGGTGCCCAGCTGAGGGACGTCCCTCTGACAAATAAGGGAGAAAGACAGACAACACAGTGGGAGTCTTTGGTTGGTTGACGGGGCGTATGTGTGTGCTGCTGTGTGCTGCTTACCATGAGCTGCTCGGCCTCTTCTAGCCGCTGTGTCAGCTTGTTGATATGCTGCTCTCGCGCCTGCACACGGACCACTCACACAGCACCGTCCAGCAAGGCACCTGCTGTCTGTCAGTCTGTTGATCAGTACCGGCCCGTGTGGTCCACACCCACCTGCAGCAGCTGTTTTAGCGATGCCATCTGGTTGACATGCGACCTGAGCCCTCGACGGAGCCGCTTTATCTCCACCTGTGACTTCCACAACTGACACGCACAAGCCAGCAACACATCACTGACTGACACCATGCATGGCTAGATGTCCTGACCTCTCTCTCCATCCACTTGAGGTGCCCCTTATCGACCTCCATCACCCCTCTAGACGTCACCTCCTCCTCCCGCAGCTGCTCCCTCACGCGCAACACGCGACCACCACCACCACCACCATTACCGCGGCCATTGCTCGAACAGTGCCCTTCGGCAGCCGGCTCCTGATGGTGCGGCGGACTCAGCGCCTCCACTCTCCGCAGCAGTCGTGTCGACGACCCCGTGTGGATGCATGGGGATTGCGACTGGTCCAGGAACTGGTGTTTGGGCGACTCATCCACCTTGAGTTGGCTCAGAAACTGCTCCTGGATGGCCTCTGCGTCATCAGTGAAGGGGGCGGGGGGCGGGCACGGGGAGGGGGAGGGGGAGTGGGGTCGAGCCGGCTGATCAGCTGCATGGGTGACGGAGGACGGGCTGGAAGAGGGGCCCGGCTGGCGCAGCGGCTGCTGTCTAGTGTCGCGATGTTTGCGAACCATACACGCCTGATCAGCAGGAACCAGTAGACGGCGCACACATGACATGACCGGGTGTTGTGCGTGTGGTATCGCTGGGTGCGGTGCACGTACCATGTGTGTGGGGAGGGTCTTTAAGGGTCCGTCATAGGGCACTCTATCCATCGGCGGGTACCAGGTGCCCTCCCTGATGCAGTGCAGCAGCAGCAGCGCGTGCAAGTTGCCTGATCCAGACACACACAAAGAGAGCCACCAATGAAGAGCAATTGAATGCGACCGGCATGGCGTCATCACTGCAGGGCGAAAGCCTACTTACGATGCTTCTTCAAGGTGGTCGTCGCATGCTCCTCATACAGCTTCTGTTGCTGGACGATGCACACACACATGTGAAGCCAACACACGCACGCCGCAGCCATGCGGCCTTGTGGAGTCTCTACCCATTTCTCCGCGCGGATCTGCAAGTGCCTTGGCAAGGCGGAAAGAGTCATGTCCACCTCTGCACACGGCAACAAGAGTGAAAGAGTGTTTCAATGGATGAAATTCATCAGTTTCGCCCAGCTGACCTCTCATAGTACTCAGGAACTCCTCGTCCTGGCTCATCATCTCAGTTCGTAGCCTCGGCCGCAGCGGTGCGCGACGACGACGACGACGCAGAAGTCGACAAGCCGTCCTAGCTTCGCAAAGGGGAAAATCCCTTCCTTTGCGAGCTTGGCACCGATCGGCGTGCTTTGCTGGAAGTACTGACGGAGTGTCAGTCTGTGTTTGTGCGGACGCAGTGTATCTCCCTTGTCACATTTGTACTGAAGATCCGTGCTCCGCTCCATCCCGTCAGTTGTGCTGCATCCACTTCTGCAGCTGCATCATGGCCTGGTTGTCGATAGTGAGTGAGAGTGGGACTGTCTGATGTCGATATGGCTGCTTGATCATCGACAGAAGAGTGTACGAGCACCCATTCGTTCGTTGTCTGTCTGCTCGAACCAATACGCACACACAGCCAAAGCTCATCCACGGCACACAACCTATGAACAAAGTTACGGAAAATAAAAGCAGCAGCGCACAGGCATGCACACACCATCGATCGACTCACGGCTGTCGATCGATCAATGAACACACGAAAAATGCATTGCAGTGTGGGCAAATCACACACAGAGACAGAAACCACGGACACTCCTTTTTTGTCTCATCCCCACACCAAGAGAGAGGAGTGGGATCACACACAAGGCACAGCACAGCACAGCACCGAACATAGGGCTACATATGATGTACACGATGTGTCTGTCTGCTCTGCTGTTCCCTCCCTCCCTCATTCATACGTTGGCCAGATCACCGCCGTCTTGTGGGTTGCTCACATTCCCCAGCACAGCTGCCGGAGGCCCATGGGACACGACGGGGGCAGGCACAGACACCGGGGCGGCCGCACCTGCATGACGCTGCCCCTTGACCCTCAGCCTCTCCACGCACTTGACGACGACATCGAAAACTAATAGTAGCATCATGGGGCCGGAAGTGACGGATGAGGCTGCGAGCATGAGATAGGGGCCCACACCAACCTCACACGGCGCTGCGTGCATGTCGCCCGTCATGGCGTCAAAGCACCAGTCGACGTTGGTCAGGTGTTTCCATACGAAGAAGGCAACAAAGGAAAAGCCATAGCTTGCCGTGAACAAGACAGCGGCAATGACATTGAAGTGACGGCGTGGGATGCCGCAGCAACCGGCTGTCGGCCCGGGATCATAGTAATAACACTTCTTCGAGGCCAAGAGAAAGCACCCAAGGGATACTGGGCCGAGGGCGGGACCGGCGGTCACCGCGACCAAGACAACAAAGCCCGCGATGTAGTAACGTCGCCATGCAGCGGCCGCCTTGTCTTCGTCCCTCTCGTGGCGCTTGTCAATAAGGAAGCCGTACGCTGCCTCACACTCACAGGTGCTTCCCGAGTCGTCACTCGTGTATGTGCACTTCGCGAATCGCACTCGTGTGTCGACGGTGTCGCGTCCGCACCAGAGTTTGGCGTCGGCTCCATCCACAAGCTTCAGCCGGACCGTGTAGGCCGTGATGGTGTATACCTGCTCCATCTCCTCATACAACTGCGGAGAGAGTGAGTGCGGGTGAGCGGCTCCATCTCGGTGTACGTGGGATCTCCGCCAGTCGGGCAAGCCGACCAATCAGATTCCCAAGCCACAAATGGCAAACATACAGGCCCCGATGGCCGCCCACACCGCAACACAACTCCACAGGCACTCCCTCATCGCCTCTGTGACACACAGGAGTCACACAAACTGACATGACAGCACACAGATCTGTTGTGTGTGTAATGGCGTGCCGCTCTTTGCTCGGTGCCGAGTGCGTTGAAGAAAGAAAGCCGCTTCATCACATCAAGCCAAGCGGCCCTGCGAACACACACACACAGACACAAAAGTCTATATGCATATGCAGATTCAGCATGTGTGTATGGCTGATACATCGTCCCTCTCACCAGCTCCCTGCATGGGCGGCGCCTTCCCTTCTTGCCGCTTGCGAGCTTGGATCGTCGGTGTCTTTTGGCAGGGGAAAAAGGCTCAGACATGTAGCTGTGCGTTGCCAGTGTGGTGCATTCGGCCGAGGAAACGCAGGAAGCTCTTCCGCTTTCTCCATCCATCCATTCATTGGTTCTCATCGTCAAGCTTTGCAGAAAATTTTGCCAGCCGCTCTCGCCGAGCCTCTCTCTCTCTCTGCAGTACGTATGGCTGTGGTGCCAGCGGCATTACTAGTTCCGCAGCCGGTGGCCAGGCCTCTTGATCGGCACGGCAGGCCGCTGTTCTGTAATATAGGCGTGGAGCTGGAGGCCCAGACCAACCTGTTCGAGATCGTGCATGCCCGCGAAAACCTGTTCGAATTCGCCGTCTGGGTGTATTTTGCGGGTATGTGAGCCGTCAGGAAGGAAGATCAGCACTGACGTGATCTGCGACCCATCGATTTGTGTGGCGTCTGTCTGCAGAGTTTGACCCACCGGTGGATTCCCCGAGGCTCAAAAGACAGCTGGTATACCGAAATGCCGACCAGGTGATGTCCACACATTCATCCGGACGAATAAATGGCACTTTGGACCCCACTTGCCCTTTGTGCTGCTGTGTTGCTGCAGATCTTGCAGAGTCTGGGTGCGGCTGGCGGTGCGTTGCTGTACCAGGGCACCAACCTGTTCGTCAAAGTCGACCGGTCCACACAGCCAAGGTCCACTGCATCCATAGCCGTCACACCGATCGGCCCTGACGTGAGCAGAAGCCGGAAGAACGGAAGAAGGAGGGTGTGTGTATTTCTGTGTACTGTGTCTCAGACTCAGAGCATCGGCCTCACGCGGCAGCGTTCCATAGATATGAGTAATCAAGGACGGACAGATCAAAGGCTGCGGGCGACATCCATCCATGTGTACATCTGTCCATCTGTTAGGGGGTGCGTTGGACCAGGAGGCCATCCAGTACCTCACCTGTGCGGTCAACAAGGCCATCGGCCAGCTGCGGGTGAGTGAGCTGACACTCACATGCAGCCACAGACAGGAACAGATGTCCAACCTTTGCAGCGTCTTCTCCCTTCTCTCTCTCTCTCTCTGTGTGTGTGTGTGTGTGTGTGTGTGTGTTTTCAGTTCCAAAGCGTCGGTCGGCATCGTTTCCTGACGGAGATGATGAGGCAGGTCGACCCCGAGATGGGCGGCACCACCACCGTGGGCAACTACAAACTCCTCCCCGGGTACTTCACGTCCATCCAGCAGCTCGGCGCGTCACTCTACCTGCAGGTCACCCAGCGATTCATGAATTCATGAATTCATCTGCGTTTAGCATCTCATTGTGGCTCTTGTGGCTGTAATGGCTGGTTTGTCAGGTGGACTGCATGCACCGCATCATCCATATGAACACCCTGCGGGACGTCCTGGACGAACGACGGGTTGGTGGATGGGTTGGTGGGTGGGGGGATGGGCACAAATGGATGGGAGGGTGTCACATCACAATGGACGCATGTGTCCCATGGATGTGTGTGTTTGTGGGTGCAGCGGCGTTTCACCGGGAGTGAGGCCGCGTTTGCACAGCTGATGAACGAGGAGTTCCAGGGGAGCGCATCATCACCATATACGTAGGACCGACGGACAGCCACAGAATACACCCCCATCAGCCACAGATCGGATTTTCTTTCTTGTGTGCTGGTCGTTTGTTTGCAGGAGAGCGGCCCCGTGGGCAACCGAGACAGGAAGCTCTACACCATCACAGAGGTATGGTGCCGCCCCCACCTCCCCCCAAACGCATGTGTCTGTCCGTCCATTCAGTTGGTGTTTGGCGAGCCTGGCATCCACGGCACCTTCACCCGTCGGCAGCAAGGGCAGGAGGTGACGGTGTCGTACGCCCAGTACTTCCAAAACACATACGGCATCAACCTCGCCAAAGGGCAGGCACTCGGTACGCTCACACACGCACAGGAATGGTCAATCCTTCCATCCATCCATCCATTGGCTGTCGGCTGCACTGATTGCAGTCAAGTACGAGAGGACTCGTCGCATGCCCGACGGGAATCAGCAGGTCATCAACACCATCATCCTGCCCTCACAGACAGTCACACTCACCGGTCAGCCGCACCCCCACCCCATCTCCCTCTCCCCTCCCCCCCTCCCTCAACTCTGCCTCTGTCGGCTTGGCTTGCTTGCAGGGATGGATGAGTCGATCCGCAGCAACTTTGATTTGAACAACCAGATCGCCAACCGGTGCCGAATGCTGCCCGGCGTGCGGCTGAACAGGAGCAGAGGGTTGGCACGGAAGCTGCAGGCCCAGACGGCCGCGGGGGGCGGACCTAACAGGGCTGCAGGTCAGACAGAGACACCGAAATCCACCACCTTATTTGTGACACATTGTGTGTGCGTGTGTGTGTGTGTATGTGTGTGTGTGTGCAGAGGTGTTGGAAACCTATGGGATCACCATCCATACGGACGGCAACCTGGTCAAGGGTAACAACACCGCACAAGAGCA